GACTACAACTTGGAAAGCGCACTCATTTACTCCAAACGAGTAAATGGCAAAAACATGCTCTGACTGACATGTTGATACTCCAGGTCAGCGAGCTGACCTGTCCTTAGAGCTTCCAAATTCGAGGTAAGGCTTATTCTCTGATAAGTCGAAATAAATACGCCTTCGGGATCTGTTTGATTGAACAACGGGACAATTTTCGAATCTCCTGCCGATCTTGTTGTAGACGTACGACACTGAATATATTCCTTTGACCGAATGACTATGCGAGAAATACAAAAGTATGGGATCAAGTACGACCGGGACGTCTGGTAGCATTATAGCTACACAAATTTCGTCACTACAGTACTTTCGCCTGGACTTCTGGAAGCACTTTAGTCGAGGTATTTCTTCAGTATCTGCAGCTAGTCAGGAGAAAGCGCTGTAGAAACTTTGTTTGGAATAGCGTGCCTAAGGCCAAAATATATCTGATCAGTATATGACACAGAGGTCTAATATTGACTTCGTTTGATTTGTATTCCAAAAATGTTTGACGACCAATACATTTTCGGTTATTCTCATGAAGAACATGACAATTTGTTGGACTGAACTTACGCCTTTGGAAATAGGTATCTTACCTTTATCAAAGGGGTTTGTACTGTTAGCTTCTTTTGCAGCACAAGTATTTATGGCAAGAACAGAATTCAGCCTGTCGATATCGCCGACGATAAGGGCTAAATTGTTCAAGGTGGTGATTGACAGGGTTAGATTCCTCTTGGCCTGGTCCAACTGCTGAATATCGCTTGTTATTTCTGCCACCATTCTTTCCGAAGATGTTGCCCGCTCCTGGACCTCTCTGATCCTTAAAAGGCAAATGAATGTAGAAAAACAGGAAGTTTACGTAACACCCGCTTACAAAAAATACCGTGGTGGTCATTATAGGGTTACCTCATTTCTCTTAAAACTACGCAGGTGAATTTCCAAATGAATGCGTCCGTCGATTTTTCATCAACCTTAATTAAATTCGACACAACTGACTAGCATTTCCTGGGTGTTGTAGTTACCATCTTCCGCTTATAAGAAATAAAAGCGAGTATCTATGGACTCACTATACCAAGCAGATTTCGGTGAGGGGGTTTGTTCCGTTTTGAGTATCAGTTTAATCCAAAAGACTAGATCTGGGTAAAATCAGTCGATTTCGGAAATGTAGAAGGTAATTCTAAGGAAAATTTACGATAAATACCATCGCGTTTGTTTACGAACGCACTGAAAAATAACCCATACTATCGGGTCACAGAAGTGATCGGTAGTTTAAAAAAATAGCGGCTCCAACGACAAAAGCGTACACATACATACATAAAAGCAGCACTTACTTAACAAACAAAGACTGTATCATCTGAGAAGCCTCAGCGACGACTGCCGGGCCCTGCTCCTCTAGTTTCCACTGGCCATGGACGATCTGGCGTGTTTGCTCATCAATATTCTGGATCTTTTGTGCGATGGTATTCATTACTTCGTCAATCGAGGAGAGAGATTGTTCAGACGGGAAAATCTATAGGCGACATTGTGTGCTAATTCTAGATTATACCTCATTGATATAGGCAACCTCATCGAAGTCGGTAGCATCTATGGGGTCAAATTCAATGTTGAAGTCTTTTAACACCGACTCGAAGTCGATGTCTTCGAGTAATTGGGAGTCGGGTAAGGTACTATCTTTGCTCACGTCCGCGGACATACTCGTTGGAATCTCCCGTTTATCAAACGTCCCGTGATTAACCTGGAATCGCGAATTTACTACCGATACGAACAAAAGGCAACAAGAAGCCCAGACCGTTCGTGCACCTGAGTTTCAGCACAGTAAAAGCAGGATCGGCAACGTTTAAAGGTATCATTGGTATTTTTAATATATCTACTCACTGACGACCTCCGTTAGATATTATAGGAAATATAAACAGTTGATTGCTTGAGAAGGGTCCCCATACGGTATGAGGGAGGGAAATGGGTAGTCAAGTAAAATGCATGTGAGACGAGATAAAATTTCGCATCTCCTTATCTCTAATACAAGTCATCAAGATAGACCATACTGACTACTGTTATGACTGTAAACATCTGTTTCTAATTCCACATGGCGCATTTTAAATGGAAGAGAGCATGAGAATTTAAATACATTTGGGGAAGGTAAGGATGTTGTTAGTTTTCTCATTTTTAAGTTTGAGCCCCATTTTATCGGTACTCCACATGGTCCGGTCCTACTTTTATTTATGCTTTACATTTGAAGTTTCATGGCGGCAGCAAAAAGCGCTGCTGCTTTTATTAGTGCGGATCATCTCAGACGCAGTTAAGAGGACACTCTGCACTCCCCGACCAGAGTGGTTGACGTCGGAAATAATGAAGAAGTTTAGATTTAAAAGGAAACTTTGTAAAAGGACGCCAGATGTTTACAACGAGAGTATTTCACCGATTTACAAAACAGCGGAATATATGTTGGAATTTGCTGAGAAGGTTACGAACAGAATTGGAGTCAAAACTATTCAAAATATTCCGCAAAATCCAAAAAAAATGTATTTGGATACGTGAATAAGGCGAAAAGCAACCGGGACTGCATTTCCTATCTAAAGGATCGCCAAGGAAATATGTTGTCTGACAACTCAGATAAGGCCAACCTGTCGTCCACTTTCTTCACGTCTGTGAAATGTTTAACCGATTTTCTTTCGGGCAGATCTTAGCGTATGTGTATCGAAAACGCTAAATCGGAATGGGTATCCGTTCACAGTGGCGTTCCTCAAGGGAGCGTTCAAGTTCCAATTCTGTTCTTGATATATGTGAACGACTGATTGGCGTGCCTGAACTGCGAGTGCGTAATGTTTGCCGATGCTCTCAAATTGTGGAAACCAATGGAGAATTCGGAGGTCTCTCTATAGTTACAAAATAATCTAAATCGCTTGCAACAATGTTGTGATGCGTGGAGTCTTAGCCTCAAACTTAACAAGCGCGAACTTTTCCGCTTACGATCTAGCAGCAGGAGGCCGTTGAGGGCTGAATCTCATTACTCTGTTGGAGGTCATCAACTCGAATCAATCAACATGCCGCCGACTGAGCCCAACTGAGCACGACGGAATTATTCTGCGCTCCAACTGGGACAATTTCGACTTGGATACCATCCCACAGTTACAGTCTCTGACATTGATACTGGAACCGTACGTACAGACTAACTTTGTGCATTTTTGGAATATTTTTTCACGCATCGAAATTCGCCTGGAACCTGGATTAAGTGCGATTTGTTTATCAGCACGGTCCAACTGACAACGCAACCGGCTACGCAACCGATTCACGGTATACAGCCTAGAACACCAATCGCTCAAAATCCTTCAAGGTCTGCAGTTATTCAAGTCCCACGAGATCTGGAAAGGGCTAAGTCGCTTCTGATTAAATTCAACAACATTTATCGGATTTTAAGTATTTTTTCGCTTATTGAGTTTTGAATACTCCTTTTAATTCATCATATATAAGCGGACGTATTCATTATAACATCGAAAGCGGAATTATACCTATTATATCACGCCGAAGTTTATGGATTCTCAGCAGGCTAACTGTAGTAGTACGGCCAGCGACGGCACCTCTTTGGAAGATAAGTCCAGTGAGTTGTCCTTCGCATCCAGACCCTGTGCTCGCTCAACCTTCGCCTCCAGCCAACGACCAGCAAATCGTGCAAAAAGCGTAAATACCGCAAAAAGTGTGAGGTACGAAGACGAGCCTTGTGCTGGGTGCGCAGATATTCAAATCAAAGTAGAACAACTAGAAAAGGAGCTTGCTGATTTAAGGACGCTCGTGCAACAGACCGTAGTCGGCCAGAACGTGTCCAGTGTTAGTATCCTAAAAACGAAGAGCACAACGCAAAAAACGCTAAAAAATATCTCCTCGGGGGTATCTTCAAACACGAGTAGCAACTCAACAGCCAAAACCGCAGACGCCGGTAACAGCAGGAGAATGAAAACGAAGCCGCCGATAAAGGGAGACTCGATTCCCACGCACGATGTCTTAAGCGATGTCGCAAAAAAATTCCCTATCGCGGAATCCATGTCACCTAAGCCTCTTGCTGTAAGTGATGAGATTTCTGTTCTGTCTGGAGACGATATACCTGGATCATCCAGTCTACTCTTGCCCTCTTGTTCTGGCAACCACCCCGAGCGCACTACAGAGCACGTATCTGAATGTGAAGACATAAAACAGTGGGTAGAGGGGAGAGGGAAACGCCATGACAGGATTCTGAAGTCCCAGCCAGCCCTGATGGGTTGCTCGGGACAGTCGGTAGACAGTTAAAGTGTGCGTCCAAGCGATAAATCCGTAAATCGTCCTCGCCCACATGCAGCGCATTCACCGGAAAGACAGAGTAAGGAGGACCATGCTCGCCAGCAGTGTCTGGTTATTCAGGGTTTGTCAGAATCGAATGCAGTCAGACCTGAAGACCGTGTCTCAGAGGACCTTGCTTCCTTTCATGGTCTGCTAAATCATTTACTGCCGGCAGACATGGAAATGAAGGTTCTGAAAGCATTCCGGATAGGGAAAAGGAGTGAAGACAGTACAGTAGCACAACCACCTCGCCCTCTCAAAATTATGCTGGAGAACAAAGAGCAAATCAAGTTTATCCTCCCTAAAAAAACCGATCTCAGAAACACACACAAACAGGTTTTCTTTCAACCGGACTATTCACCAGCGGAACGGTTGAAACGCCGGGAACTTGTCTTGGAGTTAAAATCAAGACTGAAGGATGGCGAACACAATCTGGCTATCTTCAAGGGGAACGTAGTTCGGAAATATATGCCGTTTCAGTGGAACCAGCCTGTAATACTACGAACGACGACAGCTACTCAGCTAAAACAGACACCTTCGTTGAACCACCTGATCAAGGCGCCAACACAAGTGAGCCCGTAGCGTCCAGTGATCTGACTGAAACAAGGCATGTAAATGGGACCAATCAGGTAACGGAAGAGCCTAGAGAACACGACGTCCGCGATAACAGAGTAATGCTCACAGCAGTAATAATTGCAACGGGAAATTCGGCTGGTGCTAAACTGAGGTGCTTGTACACGAATGCCCAAAGCCTCCTATCGAAACTAGACGAAATAAAACTTAGCCTTGTTGAGCTGTCTCCAGATGTTTTAGCAGTAACTGAGACCTGGCTGTCCGGGACTATTAGCGATAACGAAGTAGCCTTGCCTGGATACCAAATTTATCGGAGGGACAGGGAACATCGTCAGGGTGGTGGTATCGTTGTGTATGTGAATGACGGTCTGGCAGTGTCGGATAACACCACCAAGTTTGTGTGCAGTACGGAAGCTATCTGGTTGACCATCAAGGCTACCGGTTCCCCGTGTCTCGATGTCCTCATTGTCTACCGATCACCTCGGACAGACCGAATCGCCGACACTCAACTATTGGAGCAGTTGGAGAAATTTTCCAGTCGACCTAACATCATGATCATGGGCGACTTCAACGCACCAGGAACAAACTGGAATACCCTCCAAGCGTCAGGTCCAAAATCGGCATTCGATTACCGCCTGTCTAACAAGACATTAAATGCGTGCCTCACACAACATGTAATGTTCCCAACGAGAACACGTGAAGGACAAAGGGCAAACTGCCTGGATCTGGTCTTTACGAAAACACCAGACAGCATAGACGAGATCGCATCCATGCCGCCCCTTGGCCGAAGTGACCACGTAGTGCTTATGTGGGATTATTCGTTATTCTCCATTTTACACACTCCAGGCCACAAAAGGCGTAATGTTTGGCGGGGCGATTTCAATCAGATGAGGGCAGACTTATCCGGTCTTGACTGGGGCTCTTTGTTTACGGGAAGTGCCAACGATGACTGGGAGCTGTTCAAGAATGTCCTTCTGCAGCTCATCAACAACCACTGCCCACTGACTAGTGTAAGACTGAACAAACGCCCTGGGTGGCTAAATAGCTACCTCAAAAAAGAAATCAACAGGAAGCCTAAATTGTGGAGAAAATACTGCGTCACTAGACAAGCTGAATGCTTCAACACCTACAAGACACAGAGTAACAAACTGAGGAAGCTGATAATTCAGACGCGGCGGGAATTCGAGAAGAACTTGCTACAAAAAGCAACGCAGAACCCAAAATTACTCTACAGCTACCTCCGACGAACTACAAGGAACAGGCATCAAATCCCCTTGATAAAGACTACTGATGGCGTTGAGATCGCTGATAGTAGGGATAAAGCTGCGTATTTTTCACGGTTTTTCCAATCAGTCTATACAAACGAGGCAATGTTCCTTCCTCCCTCCACAGAAGAACTGCCGACTTCAAGCGTCAGTGATATACTCTTCTCAAAAGGCATTGTCCGAAGAGAATTAGAGGCATTGAACGAATCGAAGTCGCCAGGACCAGACGAGATACCATCCAAGCTTCTGAAGGAACTTGCCCGTGAGCTCTCTGTGCCTTTGTCGATGCTCTTTCAAACGTCATTTGACACTGGAACACTTCCTGTCAATTGGAAGCTGGCGCATATTACTCCGCTACACAAAGGAGGTAACAGGGCAGCGACGACAAATTACCGGCCCATAAGCTTGACATGCATTCTCTGCAAAGTTATGGAAAGGATCAAAAAGACTGAACTGACGCAATTCCTGGAAGTTCACGGCCTGCTATCGAAATGCCAACATGGGTTCCGAAAAGGAAGATCCTGCACGACAAACCTGCTGCAATCTCTCCAGAGCTGGACCCAAGCTCTCGACGACAGGCACGCGGTCCACATAGCCTTCATCGACTTCCAGAAGTCTTTCGACACTGTGCCACACCAAAGGCTCTTACATAAGCTGAAAAAAGTAGGGATCGGTGGCAACTTCCATAAATGGATCGAAAACTTCCTTGTGGGTCGACACCAGGTTGTATGCGTCGGTCGGGGAAAATCAGATCCGGCTATGATCGAAAGTGGTGTCCCCCAGGGTTCAGTACTGGAACCCATTTTGTTCCTTATCTACGTGGACGATGCCGCAAGAGATTTGGACTGTGAAGAAGCAATGTTTGCGGACGACATGAAGATATGGAGTGTAATTCGTGGTCCTGCCGATGAAGACAGACTGCAGATGAACCTGAATCGGTTGGAGGAGTGGTCAAACCGTTGGCTCCTGCGGTTCAACGTTGCCAAATGTAGCATACTTCGCCTAGGCAACACAGCCAGATCCGCCAGCACAAGAGGCTACTTTCTGGGCGGTGCAGCCCTACAGAGGTCGAAGCCCAAAAGGACCTCAGTGTGCTTACGACGAGTTCCCTAAAACCATCCGCCCACTGTTCGAGGGTGGCAAAAACCGCAATGTCCGTACTGTACGCCATCAAGCGTGCGTTTATGGACTTTGACGAAGAAGCCTTCTCTAAGACATTCGGAACATTCGTCCGGCCGCATTTAGAGTACGGCATACAAGCTTGGAGGCCGTGGGCTGTTGTGGATCAAAACTGCCTCGAAAGGGCCCAGAGGAGAGCCACGAAGATGGTCAGGGGTCAAAGCTCCTTTCCATATGCGACCCGCCTAGTAAATCTGAACCTCTTTCCTTTGAGTTACAGGCAACTTCGCGGAGATCTCTTGCAAGCCTTCCGCATTGTAAAGAGGTTGGATTGCAGTCTGGCCTTCGAGGACTTTTTTGAATTTGCTACCACGACCAACCTCCGAGGTCACCCTTTAAAACTGCGCACTCAGCAGGCACGGCTGGATGTGCGGAAGTTCTCTTTCTCGGTTCGGGTGGTCAAACCGTGGAATGAGCTTCCCGCAGATGTTGTGATGTCACCATCTATACAAAGTTTTAAGAAGAATCTGGACATATCTATGCTCCGAAATGACCAAGAGCGATGAGAAGTCGAGCTCACCCCCTGTAACTCCTTCTCATTTTGTCCCACCATTATGGGCGTGTTCGAACTATTTCAGACCAGAACATCCATCTGTACACCACACATTTTTTACGTTGCAAATAGGGTACTCAAAGGCTTACGCCTATTTCCCTCAATAAACTGAACTGAACTGAACTGAACAAGATAAGAGACCACGGTCTGTGGATGACGTCAACACTCAAAACATCGTCTCACTGTGCCAAGGTATCAAAGGAGGCAATAGGTATCGCAGGCACGATTAGGAGATCCTTCCTCAATTCTGATGAAGAACGTTTCGGCTGAATATTTTGAACATTTGTTCAGCTAATGTTGCGTTCAGGCATGGTGTCCCTGGACGATAAAAATTACCCACTGTTAGAGAACGTACAAAGAAAAGCAACCAATCTGGTCAGTGGCAACAAGCACCGCGCAGGAAGTCAACGCCACATTACAGTGGAAGTAAAAGTCGAAAAGAAGGGGTCAGGAAGTGTGGGAATTGAGGCGTACTTTGTGAATAGCGTTGATGTGCTGGTTCAGGTGTCCTTTCTGTGTAAAGTCCTTGTACTCTCGCAAATCTGCAAGATAAGTATGGCCAATATTGAGGAAAGATAGAAATGAGATCTCTCTCGGCCAGGATATCATTTCAAAAACAAATTTAAAACAATAAGAGGAGGACTCCACCACAACAACACAAGGGCACATTACCTATGATAACTAACTCCAGGGAAATTTGGCAACAAAGAAGGCGTCAGTGACGAGAGGATCGCATTAGTTACAATGTCAACGATTTCTGCAACTAGAAAAAGGCAGTTTCCGAGAAACTAGCAAAACTCTCGGGAAATGTGAACAGCTAGGAACTAGTCATTTTGAAGGCACCAATGTAAATACATTTTTTCGGCCAAATTTAAGTTCCTCAGTCGAGGTGGGAATGGACATTCAGTAGTTAGTTTAAGTTGGAGGTTGATGGGTAGGCCTTGACAATTTTATGATTTTCCAACGCCAC